GACTCGATCCCAGCGTCCTGGGATCGAGTCCCACATCGGGCTCCTTGCTTGGCAGGGAGCCTGCTTCTCCCTCTGCCTCTGCCTGCCACTCTGTCTGCCTGTGCTCGCTCTCGCTTCTCTCTCTATGACAAATAAATAAATAAAATCTTTAAAAAAAAAAAAAAAGTGTAGGGAAGGAATTTTGTTTATTCATCAAAATGAAAACTTGTACATGGGTCCATTATACTATCTGCATAGTATAGTATAATAAAAGATACACATAATTTTATTTTCTTAAAACTGAATCTCATTTTTCTACGTGTGTGTGTGTATATATATATATGTATATATATATATACTTTGTGTGTGTGTGTGTGTGTGTGTGTGTATGTATACACACACACATATATAGATCGATGGATGGGTGGATAGATAGATAGGGCAACATTACCTCATTTTATAAATAACAGTGAATTTCAGTTTAAGAAAATTAACTCTTCCAACCAAATGGGGCTGGTTATTTTTTGTTCACAGCCACATGCAATTCTAAAGTTTATGAGGTTGAGCTTTTAAACTTTATCTTGTCCTCTCTTTAAATCTATACATTGGATTTTGGAAAACCCTGTTAAAACATGAACACAAAGGTTTATGTGTAGTCAATGTATTTTAAATAACTTACCCTCTTCTGATAATTTAAGAGTTCATTTGACAAAAGCAGGGATGTGGGTATGGGGTATGACCTTGTAGTTGCTCGGGCACGCACTTCCAGGAGCATCCTGTGCTTTGTTACAAAGCTCAGCTGTTGCTATCTAGACATTCTTAATTTTATCTGTGAAGTTAGGTTTTGTAAGTGAAGTCCCTGGGTCAGTGGGGCATGAATGTGAGCAGCGCTGGGATAGTGGGGTGTGAACTTGAGCAGCATCACTGCCGGGGGGAAACTCAGCGCTCACAGGTTCAGTCCTGTAGGCACTGTAGGCAACACAGAAGCCAAGTACTGGGCCTGACAGCGTGGTGTGTGCATAGGCATGCCTCAGCAGACTGAAATGCTGAGTCCCCCATGTGGCTGAGCCAGAACTGGGCTAAGACACCAGTGACAAACCCCAAAGCAACAACAGCAACAGCAGCGACTGTGGGGGAGGTAGGAGTGACCCCCCCCACCGGACCGCCCCAAGCAGGGACAGGAATCTTGGTGAGAGAGCAGCTGACTCTCAGTCCCAGGATCCTGTCCCTGCAGTATCTACACAGATATTAAATCTTCTGTCTCAACTCCAAGATAATACTTGGGGAACTCAGATGGTAAATTTTGTCAATAAATTATTACAAAATAGGGAGGACACAGGGGTATTGCAATAAAGCCTGTCAGGGTGTTATTAGAATACTTCACAGTTTACCGTGTCTAGTTTTGAAAACTCCTGCAACATTGCAAAGCAAATATCCACCAGCCTACAAATACAGATTAAAGATCATCATATTTGATGGACAATCACACTATTTTCATATGAAACTTTAAATGAACCAATTATTAACAAAGAAGACAATTCTTAATTAAATTTTCCTTGTAATTGAAAATAAAGAAATAAAATACATAAATAGGCATTTTGGATTATATGCAAATTATGAAACTACTTTTGGTTTCTTGCTCAATTTTAGCAAGTTACAGGAAATGTCAGAGGAAATCTTAAAATGTCAGTGCATACATTTACATTCAACATTAAATTCAGTATACAGTGTAAAGGATCTTTGTTGTGAGGGAATTGTTTTGTATCTTCACTGTGGTGATGAATACACAAACTTATACATGTGATAAATTTGTATAAAACTAAGTCCACACACAAATGAGTCCTAGTAAATTGATAAACTATGAATGAGATCAGTGGATTGTACCCATGTCAATTTCCTGGTTCTAACATTGTAGTTACTTTCAGGATGTTACCATTTGGGATAAATGGTGCATGGGTTCTCTATTATTTCTTATAATCTGCATGTTAATCTACAGTTATTTTAAAATAAAAAGCTTAATTAAAAATCACATTCAAGGGCACCAGGATGGCTCAGTGGGTTAAAGCCTCTGCCTTCGGCTCAGGTCATGATCTCAGGGTCCTGGGATCGAGCCCCACACTGGGCTCTCTGCTTCACAGGGAGCCTGTTCCCCCCTCCACCCTGCCTGCCTCTCTGACTGCTTGTGATCTCTGTCTGTCAAATAAATAAATAAAATCTTTTTAAAAATAAATAAATAAATAAATAAATATCACATTCATACATGAAACTAATTTGTATGAACACTTAAATCTTTATTGAAAAATTGTTCCATTAGACTCAAGCTCCAAATGTACTAAAATTTGTTTGTTAAGTCAAAAATTTATCTCAATATTGTCACAATGCATACTCTTAATAGCCCCAGTAATAGTTGCAACTATCAGAAATTATTTGTCATCTTGCATTAGCCAAAACAAATGATGTCACTTACAATTTTATAATTGAAAATGAAATTGCTAATTGTATCAATTTTCAAGACCTAAGGAATGAATTTGCAGAAAATTAAGCCAGAAAAATTATATGATCAATCAGTATATCACAATAATATAGTATTTCTCTTTATTGTATTACCCGTAATTGATACAGAAATGTTATTTTTTGATATTTATAAATTTATGTTGTTACTCATCTACAATTCCTATTATAAGTAATAGAATATTTTTAAAGGGAAAAATTTATATATTATTATCTTTAACAGCACTTATCCCCACCTACATTTTGAACTAAAGGGCCCCAAACTTTCATTTTGCACCGGGTCTTATAAATTATGTAAGTCTTGGGCCAGGAGGTTTGATACAGATTGATCCAGAAAATCTTTTAAATTTTACCAAAGGGTAGATAAGTTATATTGAATAGCTTATTTTTGTAGAATTGAGCTTCAAATAAATTTTTGGAAGGACTCAGAAATTGCATCCAATAACTAATCTCAGAAGTCAACTTCTTTTTGTCCAGAGGGTTTGCCAAGATATTATTTTGCTTATTTTATTGTATTCTATTATTTTATAAAAACCCAACAAGATTCATCCATCATCAGTCTTGACATTTGAATTTTCATTTACGTTACTCTGAGAGAGGACTTCAAGGAAGTCTTTCCATTTATCAGATGTACATTTCCAAAGTGTGTTTATTTTTCCTTTAAGAAATACAGAATTAAGGACTATGCAGATATATCAGTTTGCTTTTTTTAAATCTAAACATCATAGTTTTGATAAAAATTCTGATAGGTCCATCGGCTTCACATTTACCTGACATTTCTTAGCTTGCAAATACACTGCTAGAAAATGATTGGATTTCCTAGAAGCTTTGGAATGAGTCCGTCAGCAGTCATTCTTTTTTTTATATGACAGTCACACCATTGTTCCAAATGAAATTTTAGGGTTTTTGTTGTTGTTGTTTTAAGATTTTATTTATTTATTTGACAGACAGAGATCACAAGTAGGCAGAGAGGCAGGCAGAGAGAGAGGAGGAACAGGCTCCCCGCTGAGCAGAGAGCCCAATGCAGGGCTCCATCCCAGGACCCTGGGATCATGACCGGAGCCGAAGTCAGAGGCTTTAACCCACTGAGCCACCCAGGCGCCCCCGAAATTTTAGTTTTAAAAACAACAAACCTAAAACTGATATTTGGGATGCATATGTTAACAGTAAATTATTTCTGTTTTCTAGTGGTAGGCAAGCTTTGAAGAACATCAAGTCATTTGAGTAACAATGAAGGAGAATTACCTGTGTAAATGTTCCTTTACAAGGATGTTTCTCCATACTCATTCTCTAATGTTTTTGTGTACAGATCACACCCACTTTTTATTCCACTATCATGATGGCTCAGCCTGTTTTCTTTATTCTCTTCTGTTCCAGAATGACTCGTGGGGAAAGCAGTATTCATATGCACTCTTCAAAGCCATGAGTCACATGCTGTGCATTGGGTATGGAGCCCAGGCCCCAGTCAGCATGTCGGATCTCTGGATTACCATGCTGAGCATGATCGTTGGGGCCACCTGCTACGCCATGTTTGTCGGCCATGCCACAGCTTTAATCCAGTCTTTGGATTCCTCCAGGCGGCAGTATCAAGAGAAGGTAATTTGTTTTATCACTAGTATCTTCAACCAGTTCGTTTGTAAATTGAGTTAATGTTGTTCAGGTAACTAAATTCTTACTGTATCAAAAATATAATGAAATAAAATGTACAAAGCAGGAAAACAATCTGTTTTGATATTTTGTAGTTTTCCCAAATGCTTGTGGTAGCTGTCATTTGTTTCCAATTTCTTTCTTGAATAGCACTTTTTAAAAAAAATCTGAATTCACATCCACAGAAAAAATAGTTACATGTTTGAGAAGGCATGAAGCTGATTTAAAGTATTACCATCCATCATGTTCTATCATATTTCAACAGTTAAAGTAATATGCAGCCTTCTCTAGTATATGTTAGAAAAATACGTTAGAGATTAAATGTAACTAAGCAGCCATTGTGCATGTCCCTCTGTGTTTTTCTGCATTATAATCATAATTTATATTATAACCCATATGCTTTGCTGAACATATTTTGCTCTTCTATGTAGATAAGTCACCACACCCTCTAGTCTTAAAAATGCATATTAACAGCTGCTATCATGCGTTCTTAAGCACAATGTGTTCATTAAAATAATTGCTGCTCTAAACTTTTCTCAAAAGAGAGAGGAAAAGTAAATATATGCAATAATATATTCATTGGATTCTTTTTCATATGCTGAATTATTTTGTCTGGGTCTGAACCTTGGATAATCGGACAGTACATGTATATTTAACCAAAGATCATTAACTTTCAGACAGATAAATAAGAATATTTCATAACTAAAGGAAGGATTTATAATGTAGAAGTTTGGTTTAACATGATGGAGTATATAGTGTATACTGCACCAAAGAGCATGTCTGGAAGTAATGATTAAAATAGTTCTAGAATACTTCTCCTAGTGAGTGATAACAGGCTAGACTCATAACTACTTACAAAATAGCCGAAGATTGTTTCAGTTGTTTTATTTACACAAGTTTTCAACCCTATAATCACACAATAGGAGAAAAGGATCCCAGAGTCTTTATTTCCCTTGAATGTAATTACACTGCAACCAACTATTGGAATCAGCAAGTTGGTATTTTATTACTGAAGTAATGAAAAGATGAACCACCAAAATTGCTTCAAGGTACATTTTAAAATAAAGCCTTCAATTACATTGGAAAGAACAAAGCACATAGTAAGGGAGAAGAGACTTTATAGAATGGTGACTTTGACTAAAAATTATATACTCAAAGGAATTTGGGCAAACTTTATGGGGATTTAAGACTACAACAAGGTATATGTTTCTATTATACTGTTTGTTCTCTTCCAGTTGACATTGCTTTTTTAAAAAAATGCTCTTTTCCCATCTCCTTTTTGTCTGCATCATTGGTAGCTATTTGTCTTAAAAACAAGCAAAATCTTCAATTTCCAGTATTGCGTTTATTACCACTGTATTGCATAATAAGTGAATTCACTATTTTTATGTTTTTAGACCTGCTTTATAAGCCAAGAATAACTTAGAAACCCAATGCCTATGCAATCATAGGCATTTATAAGCAAAGATATTATCATGCCTGCAATATTTCAAGTTATCAAGTTCTTGATATTACAAAGAGCTTAATAGAGGGCAAGCATACTTTTACTTTCTGGAGCAATCTAATCAGAATGAGCTGATTATAAGTATATATGGATTTTCTTATTCTGGATGTTTCATATAAATGCAGTTATACAATATATGACCTTTTAAGTGTTTTCAAGCTTCATCCAAATTGTATCATGTGTCAGTGCTTAATTACTTATTTTGGTTCATTAATATCCCATTGTATGGATATATCAGCATTTTATCTTTTCTTCAGTTGATGGACATTTGAGTTGTTTCCTCCTTTGTCATGAATAGAGCTGCTGTTAACATTTGAGTACAAGTATAATTTGAGTATCTGTTTTCATTTTGTTAAGGTGTATACCTAGGAGTGGAATCGCTGGGTTATATAATAATTCCCTGTTTAACTTTTTGAGGAACTCCTTTTTTTGTAGCTAGTATTTATCTTTGGGTGTATTGGAACCATCTGCCATGGATGACTATAAAATTAATATTGATATTGTTTTCATTGCCGTATACCCACTAATAACATATTTTTGATGGAAAAGTGAGCACCAGTACCTTTTATAGTAGCTATTCAGAATCCACTGGTGTTCAGCCCACATCATCACACCTAGACATAACAATCTATTGTCTTTTCATTTGCCATACTACTGGGCTCCAGTGAAACTTTCAATCAAATCTAGTCTACTGCAAGTCACCTGGCCCACTGTGTATGTCTGGAATCTTAGAGTTATTTAATTCTACCGTCTTAGGGAACATCTGTTCATTTGGGTTCTCCCAACCGGAAGTTGTCCTATCATCCTAAGCAGCAACAGTAGATCCTGTGATTATGAGATCCTTACCTACACAATTTACCAATGTTACTAATCTGACAGTAGGGTATCATCATCATCATTATTTTCTCTCTTGACCAAAAAAATTGCAATGATTTTCACAGTATAGCATTGCAGATTAAACTCTGACTTGAATCACAGTGTATGTTTCTGATTTCATGGGTCATCATGTTTCATGTTCATGACAATTCAGACAGCAACGTTTTCCCCTTCTGTCAGTTATGGAGACTTCATAGTTTAAAACCGGTGGCACTTAAAATGTGCCTCTCCTGACGCTTTGCTCTGGATTACTAGCTAGCTTCATACTTTCTATGACTGGTAGACCGAGCAAGCTGAACTTCAGTAATAACCAAAAGTAATTAAATCATATTTTTTGTTTTCAATTGTCGTTTTAAGTTTATTTAGTGAAGGTCATCTTTTCTGAACAAAAAAAAATCCCTCCCCCCCAGAACTTTCTGAGGCTAGAAGCCAGAAATGAGGAAGGTAGACATAGTCCATAGGCTCTCTTTTCTCTCCTGTCAGAAGACTTGAGGAGCTGCTGTTTGCCTTCAGAGAGAAGACACAGCGGGGAGGAAAAGGAAGGGAAAAGGCAGTTTTAACACCTGCTACATGTGTTAAGCTAGTGTCCTTTGGTGGGAGTGGCAGATGATTAAAGCTGATGGTTCCTTTATGAGATCCTTTGGGCTCTTCAGGTAACACCCACTGAGTCTCTCTCCTACTCTTCCTAGATGAGGTCCTGCAAATTGAGGAGTTATCTCCAAGTTCTTTCTGCTCTGGGCTTCTTGCTCTGCCAGGCGGTACTCTTGGACAGGACCCAAGATACAATGCTGGCCCCGCTGTATGACTCAGATCTGGTCCACAGAAAAGCACCCCTGCATCCCTCCTGTAATCTGTCCCTCAGTACTCAGCTGCCTCCACACCAAAGCGATGAGGAGCCTGTGTCTAGCCTTTTCCAATTCCTTGGCAGGAGTTAGACCCTGTCCACAAGTTATTTATGTGTTCTCATATGTGAAACAAAACCCAGATCCATGTGTCCTAACTCCGTGACCTTAGTTCAGAGTCCCCAAGTGGTTTTCTTGAAGCTGTACTCCCAGGTCATGTGTTAGAAGGTTTAGGGAGCTGGGAAAGGGACTCATAGCACAACAGTTACACTCTGAAGAAATCCATTCACTAATCCCATCAGGAAAATTCTCACTCTACCTTGTGCACCCCTGTAGAACTTTGATACCTCCAGGAGTCTGGATCCTTGGATCACCATTTACATTTGTAAACCAGTATTTAAGAGACAACTTTATACAGGCTGTTAGTAGTCAAGTTCTGGCAGAGTGAAAGTTATATGCAGATTTTCAACTATGCTAGGGGGTCAGCACCCTTAACCCTCACTTTATTTCAGAGGTCATTGGTATAAATAATCATTCCCTGGCCAAATAAATTTGGAAATGTCGACTGAAAAAAATGCATCAAAGTGCTGTTTCTTTGGATAAATGTGTGCACCCTGAACATTTAACTTCTTATGTTTGCCTTCCGTGCCAAACCCCCTCAAATTGTAATTGATTAGAGTGCACTTTGGAAAACATCTTTCTAGACAAACTCCCCAAAATGAATATTCCATTTTTTTTTAACTGACCCTGGGTGGTTACACCCTTTTCTAGATATGTCTGCAGTTCATCTCATCTTCAGGAGATGAAACTGCTTCTGATCATCCTGTGTCTTTATACTGCCACAACTTAGTGCTTATGCTTGGGCAGCCCTGGGGAACCTACTGCTATTTTTAGATTCTCTTTCCTGTCATACAATTATAGTAATAGCAGCTTTTAGGTGTGCAAGAATTTTAACACAATACACAGTATGAATTTAGAATAAGAAATTTCCAACTCACCTTGGTATACTTGATGTACGTGAAAGGTATTTTTTTAAAAGACATGTGTTCAGCATCATGATCAGACTATTACATTTAGCAATCAACAGCATGGGTCCAAAAAAAAAAAAAATCTGCATTAAAACCCTTTGTTGAGATGCTTTACACTTTCCACAGAACAGAAACTAAAATAACCTGTTATACAGTTAGTCACAAATACAGCCCTTGAGTTTTTTGCCCATACACATGAGTATTGTTTAAAACATGTCTTCTTTGTAGCAGCTAGGTCGTGCCACCCCTGTGCTTGGCTGAGTTCACAAATCTCTGGTAACCTATAGCTTCCCTGTCACTTCTCTGGCTCTCCTCTCCTGCTAAGCCTTGTTTCCTGTCAGTAATGAAAATCTTCTGCCACTGTCATAGTTACTTCTGCTCTGCTGCTGGAACCACCATAGCCACGTTGGTTTCCTGGTTTGCCAAAGTATTGGCCTCCACCACAAGGGCCAGAGTTTCTGCCTCCAAAAATTTCCTCCTTTCCTGGGTCCAAAATTTGAAGATTGATTGTTGTTATTGCCAAAATCATTATAGCTTCAGTCACCTCCAAAGTTGCTGCCATCATTACAAAATCCATTATAGGCATTCCCACTGCCATCATATCTGCCACCACCTCAACAGCCACCAAAGCCACCTTGCCCACTGAAGTTTCCCCCACAACCAAAGCTGTCATTCCATCAAAACCTCCATGACCACCAC